CCCCAAAACCCCAAAACCCCAAAACCCCAAAACCCCTTAGGTTTATTATTTTTTTGAAATAATATTTTTGAAGACAATGAATGATCCGAATAACTATAGCACAGGTGCGCCACAGAGGCATCCAATGGGAGGAGGTGGCCCGATGATGTCCCCTAGCAACCAGATGGGAAGACCCATGGGCCAACAGAACTTCCAAAATAGAGGATATGGACAGGGCCCACCAGGTCATGGACAGTTTAGTACGAACAATGCACCTCCTCAAAATATGATGGGACACGGTATGGGAGGCCCTCCTCCTCAATCGGAGGCTCCAAAGCCCCCTAAACTCAAGGTTGAGCTGACTAACAGAGAGAGAGGATATTATTCAAACATGTTATCAAAGATGGAGCTTGGTAAAGCAGGAGAAGTCGATAAATATGGCAACCGAGTAGATGGTAAACAAGCTGTTACGTTTTTCAAGACTTCAGGAGTGAATATTGACACACTCAAAATGATTTATAAGATATGAGCTAGAACTCAGGTTGAGTCTTTGAGTAGGGATGAGTTTTATACAGCATTAAGATTGATCGCCTATGCACAAAATAATATCCCAGTTACTGAAGATTCTATCACCCAAAATATTGAAGTACCTTTACCTCAGTTTCAAGGTCAAGGCGGCTCTGGAGGCGGTATGAACGGAGGAGGTATGGGAGGGCCTCCTCCTCCCTCTATTGCTGATTCTCTCCCCGATCTTGATAACCTCAACGTTCATGCATTAAACCAAAATCCAGATGGATCGTTGATACCAGGGATGGATCAGAGATTGAAACAAAGAGAAGTAGAAAAGGCTCAAGAGAAAATGGAGAAAAATCAAGATTCACCATGGTACCTTCGTCCAGAAGATGTTCAAAAATATAACAGTTTCTTTGACCACTTCAATAAATCCGCTTCACCAACATTAAGCATGGACGAAACAATGGGAGCATTTAAGCAGACCCAGCTTGATGACAGCACTCTTGAAACTATCTGGGGATTAGTTGACACAGAAGAAGCTGGGGAATTTGACAGGAAAATGTTCTGCATGGCAATGCATCTCCTCTACAAAATTAAGCTAGGCACACGACTTCCAACATCAATGCCTCATGTGTTAAAGGCATGAGTTACTTCCTACTTTTCTGGCCTGAGCAGCGAAGGAGGAATGAGCAGTATGAACACTGGTAGCTCTATGGGAGGCAATCCCCCAGCGAGGCCGAACAATTCCATGCCTCAGAACTCTGGGCCTCCGAATATGAACAATATGGGCCCTCCCAACCAGAATATGGGTAAGAGACCTCCTGAGAATAGCAAGGCTGAGGAAGATCCGTTTGCAAAATCCTTAGGTGGAAATCTGCTAGGATCCGATAATGGACCCTCTAACATGGGAATGATGGGAGCAATGGGTAGAGACTCTATTTCTTCTAGAGGATCTAATAATAGTATGGGCATGAGCGGAGGCATGCCGAAGCAAGCCCCTCCCATGAACAACTCCCAGAATAACCAAGTTAAATCAATGATGGAAGGTACCATAAGAGAGCAAGAAAGGATGATCCAGTCAAGGAAAGATGACATTGCCGGTCTGAATGGCCAGTTTAATGCTAATAATCAATTGTTGAACTCATTAAAGGAAAAATCAGAGAGGCTAAGGAAGGAGCTCGACAAGCTGAATATTGAATATAAGAGTCTACAGGGGAAAGTCAACCAGCAAAACCAAGAGATCAAGAATGAAGTTAATAATATTAGCAGTATGAGCACCCAATTGTCTGCAGCAGTGGGGAGTATGAGAAATATGGGAGGACCAGGCAATTTTGTATCTCCAAGGAAAGACATGAACCAAGACAATTTCCGAGGAGTAAGAGCATCCCATGATAATATGGAAGGTATGACCAGCAGTAGGGAAAATAATATGAACTCAGGAATGAACCAACGCCAACCAAGGATGATGGGAGGCCCTCCAAATGGACATGGTGGCAATATGCCAGGGGGAATGAATAATAGAAATATGCGACCCCAAAGTACTGATCCTAGCAAAACTCTTAATATTCAGCCTCAACATTTTGGAAATATGGGTCAGCCTCAGCAGAGACATAATGATGATAACTTCTACACAAATAACGGCACTAATGGTCCTGGAAACATGAATGGGGCTCCTGATACCAGTGCTGAGAACATTGATTGGGGATTATAACTGATTAATTTTATTTCAACAGAATGTTTGCCTACCGGGGTTTTGGGGTTTTGGGGTTTTGGGGTTTTGGGGTTTTGGGGTTTTGGGGTTTTGGGG